ATAATAAAAACTGAATAAAAACAAAATTCATATTAAATTTTCTTTTCTATCTTTTATTATTAGACGAAACAACAGAATCTATAATAACAACAGTTGAATTACCAACAACATCAACAACAGTATCTATAATAAATGATGAAAATATTAAAATAGATGAAATTAAAAATGATGAACCTGTTGCTTCAACAACAACAAATGAAAAAAAATCTAATAATGATAATGATGATCATAATGGTAATGATGATCATGGTTCTCGATCAACATCAGCATCATCATCAAGACGAAGACGACGTAGTAGTCGTCGACGACATCGTCATCATCGTCGTCATTCATCCTCATCAAGTTCACGTTCATCTTATTCAACTACATCATCTGATAGTTCACGTTCATCAAGTCGTTCACATCGAAGACATCGACGTCGACGAACACGTTAGTTTAGAATTTTTATGGATTTTTGTTTTTGTTTTTTTTGAAATATAAATTTTTATTTTGTAGGTTCATCTCGTTCATCATCACATTCATCATCGAGTTCAAGTGATCATCGTGGACGTCATAGTAGTCGAAGTAGTCGTCGTTCATCACGTTCTTATTCAAGACGTCGTTCATCAACTTCACGAAGTTCACGTTCATCAACATCATCACGTAGTACACGTAGTCGATCAAGATCACGAAGTCATAATAAAAAATCTTCTCGTCATTCAAATCATAATCATAATCATCAACAACAAACAAATAATCATGGTAAAAGTGGACGAGGTGGTGCTACAACACGTCGTGGTGGTCGTGGAGCTCGTAATGGTCCACGTCATCTTCGAGCTCAATCAAATGAAAATTTACGTCGTGCAACACCAAATAGAAATGGTAATAAATATAATTTAACATCAAATATTACAACACGAAAATTACCTAATAATAAACAACCACGAATACTCATTGCTGCAACACCAAAAACTTCAACAAATGAAGAAAATACTGAAGAAACAATTGCAACATCAACAACAACATTACCAACAGCAACAACAACAACAACAACAAATGAAGAAAATAAACCTGAACCAATTATTTTAACTATAAATCAAAATCAACAACGTCCTATAGGACAAAAAAAGAATACAAAAGGAAAAAATAAACAACAAACTCCTGCATATTCATTAAAAAAAAATGAAAATGATGATATCGATGGTGATAGTGAACCAATGATTGGACCAAAATTACCACCAGAATTTGAAGTAAACACAACTTTAAGTTGTTTTTTTTTTCGATGATTTTTTACTACAGAAAACGGATATGTATAGGCGTTTAGAGAAAGGACTTTTGCTATCGAATAATCTACGCATTATCAAGTTCTACTACATACCATTGCCAGTCGGTAGATGATGTCACCTTTGTCGCACCTATAAAAGAAGATGACCAAGGTGGCGCCATTTATCCACAGATCAACGTTGCGCGGTACAGTTCATCGGGTCTAAAATTTTCACACCTGGATTCAAGGCCAATGCGACAGGCTCTAGGGCGCAGTAGACCTTGATACTCCATACATCATTACATAAGCGGAAGTCTTTCTCTGCAATTCTACGTAGACATAACCTTATAGCCAATTTTAAAAAGAAAAACTTTTTTTCTTTTTTTTTTCATTTAGAAAAAAATTAATAAAGAACATTCATTTACTCCACCGGATATGGATGATCCGGAAAATATTGAAATGCTCAATGATTTAAAAGTATTTAATTTTCTATATTGAAATATTTTTTAAATAAAAACATTTTACTTTGTTAGTATCGTGCTGAAATACATGCAGCTAAAAATCATGGTTTAATTAGCGAAATACAAGCACAACAGTTAATTGAAGAACGTGAAACTCAAAAACATTTAGCTGAACTTCCACTTATTCAAATGCCTATTATCTCATCACCGACAATATCTGTATATAAAAAAAGAAACAAACAATTTATTATTTCAATTCATTTTTTCAATTTTTTTTTGCTATTTAGTCAATGGGTCCATTTATTGTTGCAGCACAAAGTCCAGCATTAGCTACTTATCAACTTCAAATGACATCTACAGCTACTCCACAAATGACAACTAATCCTGATACTTCTTCTATTACATTTGAACAACAACAACAACAACAACAGCAGCAGCAGCAACAACAACAACATCAACAACAACAAATGTCACCAAATTCAGCAGCATCAAGTGGTGGTGAAAGTTGTTCAACATCTGGTCAAACAACACCAGGTGGAACAACTACTGTACTTACACAAGATGGACAATCAGTAATGATTCAATCAGCAACAAATGTGAATCCACAATTAGTACCAATTGCTCAACCAGCACAACAATTATATATGCCTATGCAAACTGCTGTTCAGCAACCACGTGTTGTTGCTATGCGAACACCTCAAGGTAAACGAAAAACAAAAGAATTTTCTTTTTCTAAATAAATTTTATTTTTTTTTCGTCTAGGTGGTATTCAACATTTTATTGAATATCCAACAGCACAATTATTACAAGCCCAACAACAACAACAACAACAACCTCAATTTATACAACATAATGGACAACTTGTACAAGTTATTCGACCACCTGTTGCTTATTCATCAGCAGCTTTAATACAACAATTACAATTACAACAACAGCAACAAGCTCTTGCTGCTCAACTTCAAGCTCAACAATTAGCTGCTATGCAACAATCAGGTGGTGCTATATTTTTACAAAATTCAGCTGGACAACTTGTATTTGCTCAGCCGAATCCACAAGCAATGCGTGTTGTTCAAATTCCTTATGTACCTAAATGAAGAAACAAATAAAGGGCCTGTGATATATATTTATATCTTATTCATAAAAAACACAATACAATAAAATGCATGCTTTTGCTTTGTTTTAGTCATCGTGTGTATACTTATTTATTCTTTCTCTTTAATTATTTGTCTCTCGAGCCTTTTCCGGTGATAGAAAAATAAAAACAAATGTAGTTCCATCTAATGATTTGTTAAATCATACATATACAGATTTAGACGCTATCCTCTATATGTGATTTCAAAAAAAAAAACCGTAGGCAAAAACAAAAATGAAATAAATTCTGTTGCTATTTCTTTGTAAGATATTATCCCATTTTTTTTCTTTGTCAATGTTTATGCTTTTCTTTTTCTGTTTTGTTCTCTACAAATAGTGTATTGGCGTTGTTGTTTTTCTTTTTGTTTTTTTTTGTCTATCTATTTTTTGCATACAATAAACTAGATAAAACATCTTTACAAATAATATTTCCTTCTAGATGAAGATTGACAACGAATTTTATCGAAATCATAAACGACGAGGAGGTATCTTTATTTTTATTACAGCCTTAGCAAGAATTTTTGGATTAATAACACTTACTGGTTAGTTTTAGATATTTGAAATCAACTGAATATATATATATTTTTTTTTATTCAGGTTTTGTTTTTGTGACATATTTGGAATGGTTAGGAATCGGTGCATGGAACTTTCGAATATATATTACGTATGTATTTTGATTTTTCGAAGAGGAAGAAATAATATAAAAAGAAAAACAATCATTTTTTTTAGAATTGTGACAATTATTTTTGCTTATTTGGAGATTCTTTGGATACTTGATAAGTGTATAACTTGTTGTATTTATTGTTTCCGGTAAACATATATATTATCAGTATTCGATATTCGGGAAAAAAAAATAAGGATATATTAGTGGTAATGGTTCTATACATACGTGTATATTTATTATTTTGTCGGGTAAATGGGCTTTTTTATTTTTCCATATTATGTTAATCATTCATCGGAATATATTCTTTTAAAAATTACAAAAATTTTAGAAGTGAAGCATGTTTCTATTGGGTATGCTGTGTTCCTATTGACAATTGGCTCAAGACAATCATTTACATTGGTTTATCAATACCATTTTTTGTACCAACATGGCTTTCACCGATTATACGAACAGATGTTAAGACTGTCGGTAAGAATATAAATATACTATGTTTATCAAGCCATCAGGGCTGAGCGACTATATGAAATGACCCTGAACAAGTTGCTAACGACTATTTGTCTCGAAATACTCGTCCGATCGTATGCTGACTAGAGCCCATCGGGTCCAAGAATTTTTGGACTCGGATCCGATCGAAACAAAATTTTTAGACGTGGGCCCAATCCAGTCCGAGTAAGATCCGATGGGCTCTAGTGTTGACTACGTTGTGACATTCATCTGCTCTTGTGGTTAGTTAGTATGTATAGAGAGTTTAAGAATTTTGTCTTTCAATGTAATTTTCTAATTGGAATAGAATAGTCACTCCGAAGAAACGAGATAGTTTTTTTCCGAGTTTTTTGTATTCGGTGACTAGTACACTCTACACATTTGTCAGACGAATCGTCTGAGAAATGTGTAGGGTAGAACCTATCGAATCTAAAGTTTTCGGACCTGGACTCGGCTAAGTTCGAAACTACTTCGATGAACTCCAGCCCAGAGCTACGGTCAGTTATAGATGTAAGGAAAATATCGAGCTATTGAATCTGCTGCTTGGCAGCAGCTCTTACTGTAAGGTAGCTGAAAGCCAGGGGTATTCTTCCTTCCTTCCTTCCTACATTTATCAATTTATATGAAATCATTTGTTTCCTTTTTTTAAGGTGCTTTACTTGCATTTACTGGTATTTTATATTTTATTAAAACATTTAAATATAAAAGAATTAATACTGATGAACTACTAGAAGATGATAGTCTTTTTTATGAATCTAATCCATCGGCTCGACCATCAATGTCAACACAAACTTCAATTATGGGAATAAATAATGATAATTTATTATCAACATTTACAATTGATCACGAAACGGAGAAAAAATATTAAATATGTATACATATATATATATATATATATATACATTTTTTGCTTTATTTATAATACTGCATGAATATTTAATTTTTATTTTAATCATATACAATAAAATTGTGGAAAAAGGGTTATTGAATAAAATTATTTATTTTTTCTTTTTTATAGATGTCTTTAATAAAATTGATTAGTTTACGTTCATTTCAACCAATATTTATTCGTACGACTCAAACAAATGCAAAAAATGCTTCAAAAAAGCCGACAACAGAGAAAACTAATGATGAACATTTTTTGAATGAAGTACCACCAGAAAATGATATTCCAGAGGAAACACCAACATCAGCAGGTCGTGAACGATCATTAAATCGTATTCAATTAATAGGTCGAGTTGGTGCAGATCCTAAAGTTGGTGGAACACAAAAACATAAAGTAATTACATTTAATCTAGCGACAAATGAATATGCAGGAACAAGTGCAACAAGTGGAGAAATAAAACAACGTGTTGATTGGCATCGTATTGCTATATTTCAACCACGTTTATTAGAAAATGCTGAAAAATATGTTCGTCAAGGTGATAGATTATATATTCATGGTCGTCTTCATCATAATTTAATTAAAGATAAACAAAGTGGTCAAGATCGTTATGTCACAAGTATTATTGCTGATGATATGATTTTTTTGACAAAAAAATAATTTTCATTTTTTTGTTATGTTGATTTTTGTTTTTTGCTATGTTGATTTTCGTTTTTTGTTTAAGTTGTTGTTTTTTTTTGTGCAGATAAAACAAGAAAGAAAAAAGAAGAGGAAATTTTGCTAGTAACTTTATTTTTGTTTTTTCTATTATGAAAAATAAAAAAGATAGATATTTCTACTTGAAGATTCTCATATTTTTTTCTTTGTTCGAAAAAATTCAATATGATCGATTTCGCTGAAATTTTACCTTACATATTTATGCTTATTCTATTTATGACGATGGTTTTTGTTGCCAGGTATTTTAAAATGATTAATAATTTATCGCTTACTCTATTTTTAATTTCTTCTATTTGTTTTTTGTTTACATATATCGTCGGGATATTTTCACAGATGAAACGACTAATATCTCAATATCTCAAACAGCAAATAATATACCTGTAGATCGAATTGATAGTCCATATAGAATTAATATTGAAGAGTATCGATCAACATTTAAAGGTAGATATTGAATAAAAAAATGATCGACAAAAAAATAAAAAACAATTTATTACTTTATTAGATGGCGTTTATATTCGTCTTGAAACACAAATTCGTTGTCAATTACGTGTTTATTGGTTTGTAAATATACAAAATTTTTATTCTGAATTAGATTCAATAGATTTTCGTTTATCATTATTGAAAAATCGTTTTTTGAAAAATCATTCTGCACATCAAGAAATATTTAAGTAAAGTTTTTTGTGTTTTTAACAAAAAAAAAATCTTCAAATGAAATTAAACATATGAATTTTTTTATTTAGTTTTGAACCGGCAGGTGATTATATACAATGTGTTAAATTTTCAGATGCTGAAAATTATTTAATAAAAAATAATACAGCACGTCGAGAATATCCTTTAGTTATTGTTGTTCATAGTTTTATTGATGAAAATTCACAAGAATTTTTTCAATTGGTAAATAATTGAATATCAAATAAGTAGTTTCTGTTATCTTTTTTTTATGTTTAGCCAATACAAGTAGTTACTTTACATGTAAAATCATCGATACCACAAGATCCTCCGACGAAAGTTATAGGACGAATTTCTAAATTAGCTAATGGACAATCACTTGTCGTACAAGTAAATCTTGATATTCAATTCTATTCATTGAAAATAAATTATTTTTGTTTTCTTCATCAAATAGGATATATATACACCAGGTGCTTTTATCTCTGATGATGCATGTGCTGTTTGTCTAACTGAACGCGTTAATCATGTTTTATTACCATGTAAACATGCATGCATATGTCAAAATTGTTTTTCTCTTATTGATAAATGTCCTATATGTCAAAGATTTGTAACATCTTATTTTAAAATATAAATAATTTAATTTTTGTTTCTATAAAAAAGAACCCATAAATTAAAATAACTTGTTTGTGTCAAAAGATAGAGACTCGGAAGGAAATTAACATCTCTCTAGGATATGAAAAGACTTTGCTCATATATAATGATGACATTATTAACTGAAATAAGAATAACCATATCTATATAGATATGTAATATTATATTTTATCAAGGTAAGTTGGATAAAAACTTAACATTTATGCTATGGTTTGCTTTCTTTCTTTTGTCTTTTAATTTTATAAAGTAATTATATTTGTCACAATCAAGAATTTGAATTTTGTTCTATTTGAACTAATAATGGGAATGCTGATGTGATATTTTATGATTAATATAAAAGCTAATTAACATTCATTTTATAGACTTTTGTTAGTCTATATTAATATATATATATTGCTTTCAGCAAATCGAAATATAGTATGTGTTTAGGAAGAAAAGAAAATCTCAATTGTGACAATGTAGGGTGCGCGTGCTGATTAGCACTTGACAAAAATGGAAATATGTGTATGAGTAGGGATAGAAGAAGAAGAACTTATTTTAACTGTTTGATTGCTTTTTCTTTCTTATTTTCTTATTGCATATTTTCATATTTTCATTATTTAATATTTGTTCATATATCTCTCTATTCAATGATAAATAGTCATAAAATAATTGATTGAATCTAATGTTAATAGGTAATATATATGTGTAGGCTTATTTACTAATAATTCGATTTTCTTATTTTTATTTTTGTTGATTTTTGAACGATTGAGAGGATAAAAAGAAGAGCGCAAGAGACAGATAGAGAGAGAGAGAGAGAGAGAGAGACAGAGAGAAAGAGAAAGACGAATAAGAGTTGAAGAAAGTAGTTATTCATTTCACAATTGTTGTTCTCTGTCCTAGAGTATCCATACGTGCGTTTACGAAGATTAGTGGCATATATACAAGACAATTATTCAATATGCAGGAATTGGTTCGCTTGGTGTTTTTATTTCTTGTTACACTACTCATTTTATTTCGTAAGTTTATATTTTAAATAGAGAAGAAAACTCTTTTTTTCTTTTTGATGGTTTGTATTTCTAGAAGTTGTTCAAAGTCGTAGTGTTTTTCCAGAGACAGTCGCTCGTCATAAAAGATCATTAAGTAATGTTAATTATATGGATTTATGCATGTTTCGAAAAAGTCGTCTATGTAATTGTAAGTTTTAATTAAATTTTAAATAATTATTTGAATAAATTTTTTTCTTGTAGATTTACGTACAATGGATAATGAAAAATTTGATCGAATAGGGTAAGTAAAAAAATATAGAATATTTAAAAAAATAAATAAATAATCAATGTCTTTTTATTTTAATAGAGATGATCAAGAAGTGTGGAGACGTGGCTTGAGTCAATTCTACAGTAATTGGTAGAATTAAACATTTTTATTCAAGCGTTACTTATTTGTAACTAACAATATTGAATAAAATTGAAATTAAGAGTAAAAGAAATAAAATAAAAAAAAAGGAATTTTATGCAAGGAAACAAATATATGAAATTTATTTAATAAAGATATATTTAATGGCATTTTATCTTATTATTATTGTTTCATTTTATATGATTGAAAAAAAAAAGCAAAAGAAAATATTCTCGATAGATTATTAAATAATTCAGATAGATTCTTTTTTCACTAAGAAAAAAAAAGAGATTACACTTAATTTAAAGAAAATATTTTTTAAACTCATTGAATACACTCAATACTCTATAAATTTATCATTTACATTCATCTTCACCAATCATCGTCCTTTGATTGACATAATTAAGCAAAAAAAAAAAAAAGTATTAATGTCCTTCATATTTTTACAATAACGAAAATGAGATTCATCGATTTGATAATATTTTTAAAATACGTAAAATTATATTTCTTTTGCATTTATATCAATTATCATTTGATGTTTAATGGGTAACAATATTAGTAATAGTAAATCTGTTCGTCTTTCAAATTTAACTACTGTTACAGAATCAGCATCATATACATTTGAAAATAAAGAAGATGTAACATTAATTTGGTTAGATAAAACTATTGATACAACACGAACAACATTACGTGAAATAACTGATTATGTTGTACTTTATACTGAACTTGAACCATGTATAACATATATTCGTTCAATAAATAATGAACGTATATTTCTTATTGTATCTGGTGAATATGCTGAAGAATGTCTTGAAGAAATATATAATTTATCACAAATTGATTCAATATTTATATTTTGTATGAATATATTAAAATATAAAAATAAATTTATTAATTCAAAATATATTTCAAAAATAGTTGGTATATTTGATAATGAAGATCAATTAGTAAAATCTATTCGAGAAGAATTAGATTATTTACATAAACAATTATCAACATTTAGTTTATATGAAAAACAAAAATCAACAAGAGATTTATCAAAAGAATCGGCATCATTTCTTTGGTTTCAATTATTTAAAGATGTTCTTCTTCATATGCCAAGATCTGAAGAAGCTAAAGATGAAATGATAAAACAATGTCAACAATATTATCGAGGTAATATAGAAGAATTAAAAAGTATTGATGATTTTATTCAAACATATACACATGATGATACAATACGTTGGTATACAAAACAATGTTTTATTTATCGTTTATGTAATAAAGCATTACGAACTGAAGATATTGAATTATTATTTATATTTCGTTATTATATACAAGATTTATGTAAACGTTTAGCTGTTGAACATGAAATATTTCGAACAAAAGAAATAAATCAATCAATATTAACATTATATCGTGGTTTAAAATTAACTAAAGATGAAATAATTCGTTTTCAATCAAATACTGGTTCATTAACATCAACAAATGGTTTTTTATCAACAACACGTAATTATGATTTAGCATTACAATTTGCATTAAAAACTTCAAAACGTTCAGTTGATGTTTTACCAACATTATTTATAATTGAAGCTGATTTACATTTAGATGATGTTGTATTTGCTGATATATCATCATTAAGTGTTTATCCTGAAGAAGAAGAAGTTTTATTTGATATTGGTTGTGCATTTAAAATAAAAGAAGTTTATTTTAATGATAATAAAAATGTTTGGATAATACATATGAATTTAACAAATGAAGCTCGACAAATTGTTGAAAAATATATTGAAGCAAATAGACGTGAAATGGAAAAAGGTAATGTTTTACTTATATTTGGTTTATTATTAACTGAAATGGGACAATATCATCAAGCACAAGTTTATTTTGAAAAATTACTTTCATCAAATACAGTTGATGATAAAATATCATTATATACAAATATTGGTCGTGTAAAATTTTATAAAGGTTTATTTAATGAAGCATTAAAAGATTTTTTAACTGTTTATAATATATTAAAACAAGAATATCCAACAAATTATCTTGATTTTGCACGAACAATGAATAATCTTGGATTAATTTATTTAGAACAAAAACAATATGATTTAGCATTTGAATATCATTCTAATGTTATTCAAATTTATCAACAACATTTACAAACATCAGAATTATTATTAGCTAATAGTAATAATGCAATAGGTGTTATATTTACACATAAACATGAATATAATCGTGCATTGGAATATTTATTTTGTGCTATGAAGCTTTATGAAAAACATTTACCAACTATTGAACATCCAACAATGGCAACAAATTATAATAGTATTGGTTTAGTTTTTCATTATATAAAACAATATAATCAAGCATTAGATTATTGTTTAAAAGCATTAAATATACGTGAAAAACTTTTACCATCAAGTCATCCACATATTGCTGATAGTTGCAATAATGTTGGTCTTATCTATCATCATTTAAATGAATATGAAAAAGCATTAGATTTATTTCATCGTTCTTTAGAAATATATACGAATTCTGATCAAAAAATGCGGATACCTACTTGTTTGAATAATATGGGACTTTTATATTTAGATCAACATAATTATGATAAAGCTATTGAATATTATATGAAAGCATTAGATTTATATAATAATGAAAATAATGAAAATATTTATCAAGATAAAATTGGTTTTACACTTGATAATTTAGGTGTTGCATATGAAATGAAATGTGATTATAAAAATGCATTAAAATTTTATAAACAATCATTAGAATGTCAATTACAAAATTCAGAAAAATTTTTTAGAATATTAATTAAAATTGGAAATATTTATCAAAAAAAAGGTGATTATAAGCGAGCATTAGATTATTATCATAATGCATTAAATCAAACTGAACAAATTCCAATAGATCTCAAATCATCTGTTCTTATATCAATGGGTACTATTTATCATCGACAACATCAACATGATTTAGCGCTTCATTTATATAAACGTGTTTTATCTATTTATGAACATTTATCATTAAATCAAGATCTTAATTTAGCATGGACATATAATAATATGGGTTGTCTTTATGATGATATGGGTAATACAAAACGAGCATTTAAATATCAAAAAAAAGCTTATAATATACGACAAAAACTTTTACCATCAACACATCCTGATTTAGCAACAAGTTTAAATAATTTAGGACGTATTCATCAAATATTAGCTTATCGTTTAGATGGAAATTCAACTGAATATGAACAAGCATTAGAATATTATAAAGCTGCACATGATATTCGACGACAATCTTTAGCTATGGATCATCCTGATTTAGCAATATCTTATTATAATCTTGCATTGATATATATTGATTTACAAGAATATGAACAAGCATATAATGAAATAGAACAAGCATTAAATATTCAAAGAAAAATATTGCCAATTAATCATCCCAATTTAGAACAAACATTAAATATTGAAAAAAAGATTAAAACAAGACTTAACTATCATGTTAATTAATCAAAAAAAAAAACAAGATTTACATTTGTATATAAATTGTTTATTTAGTTTTGCTTTTATTTGATCATTATCCAATTAAGCAAGTATTTCTAAATACTCTAATAAAAAAAAAACTCAGCAAATGCGACGAATTGCCGCTTGAGAATAGTCAAGCACGATTAATTAAATGTTCCTGACTTTAGAATTGTTGAACAAAACAAAATGAAATTACTATTCAAGAGTTATTCCCTGGAGGTTAATAGTTTCTCGTAGGTATTTCTTTTAAAGAATCAAATAACTTACCATTCATACTTTCTAGCTCACCTTGATCTAATGTTTATGATTACATTCATTTGACTATGTGTATCAACTTATAGGGTTAAAGTAACTTTCGATTTTGTTGATGAGAAAATCTGTCCAGGTATCAAATCCCTTTCTGATCCAGACAATGTTCATTCGATGTATGATAGAAAAGTCTGATTTTTTAAGCCTTTCTTCTTAACATATCGAAAGTTTATCGGATTTTTCAATGAAAAACTGTGATCACATACAAAAATCGACTTTAAATTTTCCATGAGATTAATTCATCGGACAAGTTGTCACTTTTCTAATATCTCCTATGTTGAAATATTCAATATTCGAAAATTTTCTCATATGTAAAAAAAAAACAAATTTTGTTGACTTTTCTATTATACATCAAATGCACATTGTCTCAATCGAAAAACGATTTGACGTCTGAAAGATTCCCTCATGAGATGTTTCATTGGCAGTATTATTTCAAATCTTCATTATAGATATAAATATACATGATTCTATTTGAAGGTGCGTATGTGGGTGTAATGAAGTTGATACGGTTTGTTTTATTTTCAAATTTTCATTTCTCGTTCCATGTGCATCTTTCGTATACTCACTTTTCTCAAGTCGTTCTACCCCAATGATCACTAGAATGAATAAACAAGAATATGTCTCTTCGATATATCGAACATATCAGTATGCTATTCCAATGGTTTATTTCATAAGTGACACTTATGTAGTCGTTCTAGAAGTAAAGGATTAAAACATTGTCTGAAGTAGTTTTACAAAAAAAAACCCTTGGGGTAACACTTATACAACGAATAAAAAAAAAGTCTGCATAAAAATAACTAATCATATTTTTATTAATCAGTTCTTGATTTCATTCATATTAAAATAAAAAGGTTTAACCTTATCCTAATGATAAAAATTCGTTCATTTGTTTTTATTTCATATCAAAATCATTTCTCGTCAAATAGATGTTTATTTTCATCTTCAAGCTGTATATAATTGTTTTACTCGAAAAAAAACAGCTCGTTTATATTAACAGGAGAAGAAAAGAAAAGAAAATTGCCTGTCTATAACAAATGAAAATGACAAAGAAAGGAAAAATTTTAAATAAAAAAAAAAAATAATAATAATAAAAGATGAGATACAAATGAGCCCAATTAGATAAAAGCTATCATATTGATTTTTTTTCTCAGTGATATATATGCCAAAAAAAGAGTCCTGATTATATCTTAGATAATCTTATTTTGGCCAAATG